TAAAAATATATTAGATTAAATTATGGATTTCAAATAATCAATTGATGATTCTTTGGAGAAGATGTATAAATAAATATAATAATATATATATCCAATTTAAAAAGAAAAATAAGAATTATAAGAAGTTGAATAATAATTAAATTACTTTGAAGATATAAAATAGCTATCTGAATTTTATTCTTAAGAATAACAGCAATCGCCTAAATTAATATAAGATAACCATTTTATAAATGAAATACAAAGACAATTTGAACTCTTATTAAACAGTTCTGAATACTTCTAAACATTAGATACATTTAAGCATACAAAAGAAACAATTAAAGATATTATAGAAAATAATGTAATCGAATTAATTCCTTCATTTATAACCAAAAATGATTCTGTATATTTTATATAGTATTAATAGAAAACACCAAGTTTAAGTAGAATTTGTAGTATTCATAAAAAGGAGATAATTTTGATTGATATGGATTCAGATTCAAAGAATAAGAAAATAGAAGATAGATTTGCATGTGTTGATTGTATTTGTGAGAATCCTTAAATAAAATTTTAAAGTATTGAAAATGTGGATAAGTAATGGAAGGAATAGAACACAGAAAATGAAAGGGTATTAAAAGAATACAAACATGAAAGCAAAGAAAAAAAGACTGAATTATTCAATTAAATAGCACATATGAGAAGGAGTTATAATAAAAAATTGAATGAAATAAGTGATAAATTGATTGCAGAATAGTTCTTAAGCATAGATAAAACTAAATAATCAAATCAAACAAAAAAGATTTCAATTTAAGCTTTAGATGAAGAATAATTACTGAACGATATAAAATAGTTAATTGAAAAGGAAAAAGATAAAGAAAAGGTCTCATAAAATCAAATAATTATAAATTTGAAAAAAAAGGATTAGATATTCAAAAAGGACATTCAATATCATTTAGAATCATTACAATAATATGACTAATAGGATATTTAATAATCATTGGACATACTAAAGGATATAACAAGTATTGAATTTCTATTTTTTTTAGTTGAAAAGAATATTATCATTTAACTAATTGATATGATCTAAGAAATGTAAAAATGTTCATAAAAGGATGAAAACTATTAAAATCAAATGAATTTAATCAAAGAAATTTAAGAATTGATTGATTAAGCTAAAAAATATCAATGTTAATCAAATCTATTTAATTAAACTATTATGGTTT